CCGCCGCTCGCCCCGGCCACCACCGCCTCGTCGGGCTCGTCGCCGCTCCCCACTCGGGCCGACGCGCTCCGCTCCGGCCTCGCATGCTCGCCGTTGCATGCAGATGTGCGTGGGTAGGTCGGAGAGAGAAAATGGAAGAGAGAGAGAGTGGTGGGGGTGGGTGGGTGGGTGACAAGTGGGGTCACCCCGGACGGGCGCGGACGGAGAGGGGGCGAACCGTGTCCGGTTCTGTCCGCTTTCGCCCCAAATCCAGCCCCAAGTTTGGTCTGGAAATAGGGTCAGACGGACATAAAACGGACAAGATGGGTCCAGTTCATTGCGCGCTGGGTCGTGGGGTTTGTCTGTTTTACCCCAAACGGACAAAGCCGGACAAAATGGGGTCTTGCGGTGGAGTTGGCCTAAGAGTGGGTAGTACCACATTCGATGATTGCCTATAAGGAATAATTTGGGATCTCTGAACAGTAGGAACGGCGGCGCAATTCGATCCAAAAGTAGTAGGTGAATCTGGAGCTTAATGCATCACATGGAAGAATATGGATGGTGGTCGTTGTGCTTTCAAATTTAAGTTACTAGCATTTGCATTAAGTGCCGATCGATCACAAAATTGATTGAAGGTTGTCACAATTTCAAGCATGCAAGTGTGGTTGATACGGCGAAAGCGAGAACAGAAGCTAGTGCAGTCAAAATGAAGTGCCGGACTGGGTAGATGGATGAATGATTGTATAGTAGTAGTACGAGTACTACGTGTGCCTACTCATGCACTGCCTACATACCGGCGACGCCAGCCGCTTGTGGCCATGCGAGGCGACCGGCGGAACCTCGTCTTCCGGTCTCCCCTCCCCACACTCCGCCTCGCCCGGGGGCACGGATTGGCCTTGGCAGACGGCCTCGTCGAGCCCATGCATGCGCGCCACGTGGCAGAACCTAAAAATCTTGCCAGGCTGAAATGCTGGCACAGGTAATTGTTGAGCCTTGAATGGCGAACAAGAACACATCTCCGCCATCTAGAAATGCATACTCCAGCAGGTTTGCCAAATAAAAAGCTGATTTTTTTTAAATAATACATATTTTTTATTAAATTTCAGAAATATTACGCCGTAATTATATTTTTCAAAAATAATACTCAGTCGGCCTACTGTTGGTCGATTGGATCCAGTCAGCCTGCTGCTGGCCGATTGCACCCCAGTCGGCCCACTATAGGCCGATTGGATCCAGTCGGCCCACTACTGGCCGATAGGCCCCAGTCGGCCCACTGCTGGCCGATTGGCGCCCAGTTTGCTTCCTCTAGGCCGACAGGTGCATGCACTCATTTATCTTTGGAATGAGTATTTAAAAAATATTGAAAAGTATTTAAAAAAATGTTGATCATGCATATAAAAATGTTAGTCAAGCATTTAAAAAAATGTTGAATAAGTATTTGAAAAATGTTGAAAAAATATTTGAAAACTGTTGAATAGGTATTTGAAAAATGTTAAAGAAGTATTTTAAAAAAATGTTGATCATTAATATAAAAATGTTAAACAAATATTTAAAAAAATGTTGATCATGTATATAAAAATGTTAAAGAAGTATTTTAAAAAATGTTGATCATCTATATAAAAATGTTGAACAAGTATTTGAGAAAATATTAAACAAGTATTTTAAAAAATTGAACAAGTATTTGAAAAATGTTTAACATGTGTATAATATACATGACCATATTTTTATATTGATCAACATTTTTATATACATGATCAACATTTTTACAAATACTTTTTCAACATTTTTATATACATGATCAATATTTTTTCAAATACTTGTTTAGCCTTTTTTCAAATAATTGTTTAAATTTTTTGCAAATGCTAGATTAACATTTTTTTATACATGATCATCAATTTTTAAAATACTTCTTCAACATTTTTCAAATACCTATTCAACAGTTTCAAATATTGTTTCAATATTTTTCAAATACTTGTTAAATATTGTTATTTCAAATGCTTGATTAACATTTTTATATGCATGATCAACATTTTTTTAAATACTTCTTCAACATTTTTCAAATATTCATTTCAAAGATAAATGGGTGCATGCATCTGTCGGCCTAGAGGAAGCAGACTGGGCGCCAATCGGTCAGCAGTGGGCCGACTGGGGCCTATCGGCCAGCAGCAGGCCGACTGGATCCAATCGGCATATAGTGGGCTGACTGGGGTCCAATCGGCCAGCAGTAGGCTGACTGGGTATTATTTTTGAAAAATATAATTACGGTGTAATATTTCTAAAATTTAATAAAAAATATGTATTATTTAAAAAAAATTAGCTCCAAAGCTGCAGAAAACCATCTCCTGCCGGATCCTTAAACCGCCGAGAAATGACAACTGACAAACGTACGCTACGAATCGTACTGTTAGTCAGTGACTGACCGGGGAGGGCCCCTGCTCCCTACTCGGCTTTGATTTCTTCTGCCTTTCTCACCAACCTCCCTGCGGTGCGCTGTAATGAGTAACGATCCATGGGTAAGTACGTAATCGCCGTGCACCACGCCCATGCGCAGGCGTGTGCACGTACATGCTGCCAAGTTAATGTCGCGCTCTGACGAAATTTACCGGAAAACCTCACGAAATCGCTAGTGGTGCTGCTATTGTAACCAGGAGCATTGAGCAGCACGGTCTCACATTACGATACGAACTACCGGGGCTTGCGGTGCTTACCAGGACGCCGGCGGTGGCGTTGTCGACGCCGGTGCCGGCAGAGGCGAAGCAGACGCCGCGCGCGAAGTCGCCGATGCCGTAGGCCGGGTCGAGATACGCCGGGACGAGCGGCGGCAGGCCCAGCGCCTCGGAGATGAAGTCCGGAGGCAGCCGCCCGTTGCCGAACCGCCCCGTGGCGCGGGCGCCGCCCGGCATGTCGCGGCCGTAGGGCGGGAAGTCGGACCGCAGCGTCGTGCCGATCTGGTTGTTGTTGCCCGTGTCCACCGTCGAGTCGCCGAACACGATCACCGCCGGCACCACCGCACCAGCAGCGCTGCCGCTGCCGCCCGAGTTGAGCACCAGCATTAGCAGCGGAAGCATCAGCAGCGCCGCTTCCACTTGGAAATGGCCGGACGCCATGGGAGAGGAGACCGGCGGCGAGTGCAGCAGAGTGGTTAGTGTGTGTACGAGTGGTGTAAGCAGAGAGTGATGGGGACGAGGGAGCGGCGTGTCATCGTAATAAATAGAGGTGATGTGAGAATCAGTAGGGGCGGTGGGAACTGTAGCGACAGCAATGTCATGCAGAGGAGGATTGATAAGTTATTACTGCATGCACGGTTATTATATCGCTTTACTTGCAAGTGCATATTGTTTTCAAAAAATTTAAACATCTTGTGCAGCGTGTTTTCAATCGCCAGCGCACCATTTGCAGAGAAGTTTGGCTACCAAGAATGACTCCCTCCTTTCCGGTTCATATGCTTCGGTTTGAATATCTCTCTAACTACTACTGCAAAAGTCTGAATCCTAGGGAGTTGAAGGGAGCTCTGGCAATAGCTTAGGCGACTCCACCGCACCGCCGCTGGCGGCTCCGGCCTCGGCGGCCACCCTTTCGACCGGCCTACTCGCTGCCATGGGGCCGGTCGGACACCCCGCTCCCCTTGCCCTGGGGCCTCAACCGCCGGCTGCCTGCTCCAACCTCGACGCGGCGGGGGCGGCATGCCCGGGCATGCGAGGGATATCTCCGCGGTAGGCGCCGACGCGACTCGCGTCGGGACTCGTTTTCGCGGCGGTTTCCTCGCCGCCTCCACCCCCACGGTGCGCCGGGGGGCGGCATGCCCGGGCATGCGAGGGATATCTCCGCGGTAGGCGCCGACGCGACTCGCGTCGGGACTCGTTTTCGCGGCGGTTTCCTCGCCGCCTCCACCCCCACGGTGCTGCGGGGGGCTCCGGCCCGCGTCGTCGGGCCATCGCTGCGCTCGCCGGGCGAGGCTCTCCTAGAGTACTCGTCACAGCCTTCTCCTCCCCGGTATGTTCTCCGCTGTCCGCCGCCCTGTCTTCGCCTACACCGGTCTGGCTAGAGGTGCTGCTGCTTGCGCCGCCGCCACCGTCGTTCGCCTGGTCAATGATTGGATCGGGTCGCCCTCTGCTTACCCGCCAATTCTTCACTTTAGGAGCTCCTTGTTCTCTTTTACCGCGGCCAATCGTAATATTGCAAATTTTATTCTGTTGCTAGAGGGAATTAATTACAGGGGCTTGCTTGTTCGTTTCCTTGCTAATGCCCCACCGGTCGGCCAGCCTATGCCTAGCCTCTTCGCTGCCTTCGTCCAATCCTGGCCATCTGCCTCTGCTGCCCGGCCCGGCCCGCCTTTGGCTTTTCCCGCTGTCGCGGCTCTGAGCGTTGACAGTGGCACTGCCACGAGGCCATTCCTTCCCCGGTTGGGACCGGACAAGCCCCCGGTTATGACTTTCGCCTCTCGCTCCTCCCGGGATCGCTTGTCGACGCCCGCACCCATCTCCTGTAGTGATTCCCGTGGATACCTTTTTAGAGATTCCCTATCTCCCTCTGCTGCGCCACGTGGGCCGTCTAGGGCTGCCGAATCCGCAGCAAATCGGCCTCTCGCGTTGGATTTTTCCAAGCCAGGCCTCCTTGCGCTTCCCATTGGCCCGCGTCAGCTCATTCAGCTGGCGCCTGCCCGGTGTCGTCGGTGCTGGCTGGGCGCATGCATGCCCCTCTGCGCCTTTTGGGGCAGAGCCCCCCAGCGCCTTGGCCCACCCGCAGACCCCGTAGTTCGAGACCGCTGCCCCCCATATCCCGCTGTTGCCAACCTGGTCAGCTCCCACCCCTCCTCGGCTCGCAGATAGCGATGACACGACCCAGGTCAGCGCCCATACCACGGGATGTGACAACGCTTTGACCGAGGATGCATGCCTGACGCCTCCATGACTGCCGCTTTCCCACGCCGGCAGCCCCCCTCCCCCCGCGCATCTTATGCACATGCCCTCCTTTCTCCTACTTATAGCATGCAAGCCCCATGCATGCACAGGCACTTCGCCTCCCTCCCCCCAAGCGGCTAAACCCAATGGCCCGTTGCTACCGCTGCTTAGCTCTTGACCACAGGGTGCATGAGTGCAGGGACCCCGTGAGATGCCATCGGTGCTGGCGCGTGGGCCGCACCCAGCATGGGTGCATGGCTATTTTACCCCCTCCCTCGTGCCAACAACCATGCCATCTAACCCGCCAGCCCCCAACCCTAGCGCCCAACCCTTGCCCCTCTCCGTGAGCTCCACCTCTCAGTCCCGACCCCTGCCTTCCCCTGCAGCCATGGCGGACTTCATCCTTCTTGACCTCTCCTCCTCCGAGGACGAGCTGCCCAGCCCCAAGCCTCCGCATCCCCGTCTCGCATCTTCTCCTTCCCTGAGCAAACCGATGCGGCTGAAGCTGATGGCGACGTCGTCGAGGAGGAAGAGGATTCGGAGGAAGTCGAGTTTGAATCGGGGGAGGAATCCACCGATTTGGACGCGACTCAATCCATTTTTCTCGTTTCCCCTCCTAGGCACCGCCGCAATTCCTCCAAAGTTTTCATGTCGTTCACCCCCATCGAGCACTTCCTAAACCTAGCCTTTGCCATCGTAAACCCCCTGCACACCTCTCCGCAGGCCTGTATCCGCCACGCCCTCCACACCGGAGCTGGCAACCCGCCAGTCCTCATTAGGGCCGCCTCCTACGGGGCCGGTTTGGTCGTCTTTGGCTCGGCCTACGAGCGCGAGATCTCCATCCTCAACAGCCCGCTATCTTGCTTGATAAACACTATGAGCCTTGTTCGCCACAAAGACACAGAGAACCGCTTCCTTTTTCGCCTTGGCACAGTCTCTGCCCTCCACATCGAGGATTTCCCGCTTGAGTATTGGTTCACTCCCACTATCATCAACTCCATCGTTCCTTTTGCTTGCCCCATTCAGATCGACCCCATTTGCCTCACCGGTGTGGACTACTCCGTTGTTCTTGTGTCCGTCAAGTCCGCACCCTCACCGACGTGCCCCACACTATTCCCGTCCATGGCTTCTCCAGCCTCAGGGCCATTGCATCCGTTCTCGTCGTGCACTACCATGAGCTTCCGCCGGACCCCGCCTTCGCGGGCCTCGACTCCGACAACAACAACAATGGCGGTGGAGATGGGGGGACTCCGACTTCGCCCGCGGGATGGACCCCAACCTCTCCGCTCCGCCGCCTCCTCCAACGGACGAGGTCCACGACGACCGGGGTCGTGCAGCTGCGGGCGGCCTAAACATGATGGAAAACCATAAGCCACTGGTGTGAATCGTCCCGCTCACGGCACACCCAAACTCGGTGCAAGTCAAGCTATTCAAGGGGTTCTACGACGTGCACGTCCAGGGGGCAAACGGCGAGCGCGGGTTCTATCGCATCCCGATGAGCCCGGCGGGCTCGCCGAAGCTTCTCGTCGCGAACCTGGCGGCCTGCTCCATCGGCTTCATCGACCGGGTGGCCACGGTGAGCCCTTCCCCCGCACCCTTCACTGACACTGAGATCATCTCCCGCGACCTCCATGGTCGCGACTCCTGTCGGTGTCAGAACCGGCGGATCTCGGGTAGGGGGTCCCGATCTATGCGTCTAAGGCCAATGGTAACAGGAGGCAAGGGACACAATGTTTACCCAGGTTCGGGCCCTCTCGATGGAGGTAAAACCCTACTTCCTGCTTGATTGATATTGATGATATGGGTATTGTAAGAGTTGATCTACCACAAGATCGTAGAGGCTAAACCCTAGAAGCTGGCCTATGATGATTATGATTCTGCCTCTAAGGACTAAACTCTCCAGTTTATATAGACACCGGAGAGGGCTAGGGTTTACATGGAGTCGGTTACAAAGAAGGAAATATAATATCCGGATTGCCAAGCTTGTCTTCCACGCAAAGGAGAGTCCCATCCGAACACGGGACAGAGTCTTGAGTCTTGTATCTTCACGCTCCAATAGTCCGGACAAAGTATATTGTCCGGCTATCCGGATACCCCCTAATCCAGGACTCCCTCAGTAGCCCCTGAACCAGGCTTCAATGACGATGAGTCCGGCGCGCAGTTTGTCTTCGGCATTGCAAGGCGGGTTCCATCTCCGAATACTCCAAAGTAATTATCGAACACTTAAACCATGTCCGGATTTGCAAGATGATCTTCACATACCACCGTAGAGAGAATGATATTTCACAAATGTAATCTGCTGACAACCTTTTAGACAACGCGACATAACACTACGGTCGGGTCATTATTCGAACCATTTTCCCACAACCAGCCACAAAGCATTTTGCGAGGCGGTTTCCTTGACACGTCTTGTCAAAGCAGAGATCGTGTCCCCTTATCACGGGATTCTCATCAATACAGGTATGGGTAATCCAATTGCGCCATTAATCGTGGAGCTTGGGAAATAAGCGATTCTCAACGGGCAAGTGGGGAGGCGCACCGCTTTCGTCGCCTCTATAAAGGGATAAGGGTTCCCCATTTTCACCCACGCCTTCTTCCTCCTCTGCTTATCCATTCTTACACCCTCGAGCTCGAACGCCCTAGTTCACGCTTTCTCCGCACAGCCAAACATGCCCGGAGCAAGAGGCAAGTGGGTGGCCTCCACCGTGAAGGAGGAGCATGTTACGAAGCTCCGGGCAGCCGGATACTTGGCCGCAGACATCGCGCACCAGTTACTGGACAAAGGGCAGATTATTCCATCTCCGGAACCCCACGAGAGGGTTGTGTTTCTCGCCCACTTCGTCCGTGGACTGGGATTTCCACTTCACCCCTTCGTCCGCGGGCTCATGTTCTACTATGGGCTAGATTTCCATGAACTAGCCCCAAATTTCGTTCTCAACATCTCAGTGTTTATCATCATGTGTGAGGCCTTCCTCCGCATCAGGCCTCACTTTGGCCTATGGCTATGAATCTTCTGCGTGAAGCCGAAGATCGTGAGCGGCCAACAAGTAGAGTGCGGAGGAGCCATGGTGGGCAAGATGCCCAACGTCACTTGGCTTGACGGCTCCTTCGTGGACACCATGAAAGGGTGGCAATCGGGGTGCTTCTACATCACTGAGCCGCGCGACGCCAACTGGGTGGCGGCCCATCTGGAATCGCCATGCGGC